ACAATTTTTAGTGAATACAATGAGCCCTTCTAGTAAATTATTGAATTTGAGAACTCCAAACCTGTGATTAGTGTCAGAAGGGAGGACAATCTTCTGTGGACTACTGTTCTCCCACTAACTCTTCAGTTAACTAAACTTTTATAATGGGGTAAATGAAAGTATCAAACCCACATATTGCATGTAGGTGTCAAACTCTTTTAAGTATTTTATATGCTTAGGAGTATCAAAATAGGATCACAGTAATTACCAAATGGAAGAGTCCCATAATGGCTAATTTTTTGTTGCCACCTCTCAAGGGTAAAGATAGGATCTCTCCTTTAAAATCAGTGTCTTGGGGGTGAAGGGAGGGCAGGGATAAGGGGAAAAAATGAGAACCAAGACCTGTCATGTAAAGGTACAAGATCCCAATAATGAATGTAACTATACTGTATACCTAAAATGTACCAATAAACTCAATGAGAAAAAAATAAAATCAATATCTATTTTTTCACAGTTTTTTAAACTTCTTTAGTACTTTAACACATCTACAAACTATTGGCTATATTATAAAATGATTTTAATTAAATGTCTCTACATTTCTCATTTCATTTTAACTCTTATCAGGTCCTATCATTAAAGTGTTAATTCTTGGGTTACTAGTATATACTTTGCTATTTCATTCTTGTATTTTTTAAACCACATCTCTAGCTTTTTAATTTCATAGGCTTTTAAAGAAACTTTAAAGGGGATTTAGCTCAGTGACACCGCGCCTGCCTCGCAAGTGCAAGGTCCTGAGTTCTATCTGTGGTACCCACCCCCCCAAAAAAAAAGAAAAAAGAAAAAAAAAGAAAAGAAACTTTGCCTTATGTTTTGATCAAGTCCTTCTTCCAAATAGTTACTGAGGATTCAAAGCATGCATGTCCCTAGGCTAAGGTGTGATAGAGATAGAAAAATTAGTGAGACATTAATCCATTCCCATACTTCAGAAGCTAATTCATGCAGAATGTAGAACAAAACTAATCATTTAGGGTAGAAAGTGATTAGGACTGCAAAAGGGAAATAAGCAAGGAAGTTAATCCCAGCAGTTTAGGTAAAAGGGGTCAATTCTAGTTACTAGATGAAAGGATCCTCTGTGTTCACCATCAATATTTTTTTTTACAGAAATATTTATTTAATTTCTTTGTTCATTTTTTTTCTTCATTGAGTTTATTGGTACATTTCAGGTATACAGTACAGTTACATTCATTGTTGGGATCTTGTACCTTTACATGAAATGTCTTGGTTCTCATTTTTCCACCTTGTCCCTGCCCTCCCTTCACCCCTTCTTCCCTCCCCATTTACAAACACTTTATTTCCATTTTTTCAGTTTCTCATATTTTTTCTTTTCCCTTATTAACTTTCCCCTACCCTTCTCACTTTCCCTGCACCTTTAGCCCTTTTCTTCCTATTTCACATTGTCCATTATACATACTCCTAAATGAAAATAAAAAGTCACACATGTGTAAATACCAAATAGTTTCTCTGGTGTGAATAAACTATAATAGTATATAAGATCCTAATGATATAATCATCATCAATATTTTAACTGGCTTTCTACAGCCATCCATGCACAGCATTTTTACCATTTCATTGCCTCTTTGCCTAGCTATCTGGCTATAATAAACACTTTAACTGAATTTTAACAATGAGAAGATAAAAGGATGGAAGCAAAGGAAATATCTTCCTTGAAAGATCCCAAATCGCAGTATGGTAATTTCATTGACTTCTTCCTATTCTTTTCTCAAATTCCTTCAACACTATCTAGACAAATTAATGCTTTCTGTTGCGAGCCGGATTGCCTTGGGCAACTCTGCGACTACAGGGGCCTGAACTGGCGACGCGTGAGCAAAGAGGCACACACTTGATACACAAGGAGTTTACTTTAGTTCCTCATCTCCGGATCTCTACCCCGCTCTCTCGCGCCCGGAAGGGGTGGCAACATATATACCATAATGCAACCAATCAGCATACAGAGAACAGATTATTACCTTATAAGGATACATCAAACACCCACGGGAACATATCATGTGATCTACAGGAAAACTAAACCTAATACAAAATGGCTTCATAGGCTATATCATAAAATGGCGGAGGGGCGGATCTATGGTTCTCCACACTTTCAAAACTGGATACACCAGCAAGTCAATAGATATTTTGTTACTATCTAGTATCCTGTGATTTTTATTATTGTTACACTGGAATTAGACCCCTCCTTCCCTTTTATACTTTTTATACTTTGAAATCAATTAGTTCTACCTCCATTCTACAAAGTAAACATTCAAATCAAAAAATTAAGCTTTCCTATAGTTTATAAAGCTTATTAAAATATGTTACTTTTTCCTATTCTACAAATCTTCCTCCCTTCCTTCTTCTCTAGGTCATTTGGAGCCTAATTCACTTTCCTCTGTAGGAAAGAAACTGTTTACTGGAAACATAACTTTTGTAACTATAAGGAAGCTAAAGTCCATTTTTTGTTATCCTTATTGCTATCCTTATTGTTATCTTTAAGTAGTTAAGAACCTATTGTATGAGCCAGGTGTGGTGATGCATGCCTGTAATCCCAGCACTAGGGAGGCTGAGGCAGGAGGATTGCCATGAGTTCTAGACCAGCCTGGTCCACATAGGGAGTTCCAGGTCAGTTTCAACTACATAGTGAGACCCTGTCTCAAAAAAAATACAAAAAAAAAAAAAAAAAAAAAAAAAAAGAACATATTGTATGTATGACTTTGTATCATAAATTAGCAATCTAGTATTGTCTTTCCATATTATCTGTTTTCAAACATCTATTTAAATGAAATAAAATTATTTAATGTCTACTATTTGCTGGGTACTTATTTAGCTTATGATAAATGAATAAGACTGTTATTTACATTAAAGTGCTGATGATAAATAGCAATGAGGTGTTTTAAATGCAGGAAACTAAAATATTCTTAAAGAAATTTTAATTGCTGAATAATATTCAACATATGGATGAATCTCCATTTACTTAAGCACTGCTTTATAATTATGCAGTAAGAAAGTTTATACCTTTTGGTATTATAAATAATAGTGATAAAATGATTGACTTTCATTTTCTAAATGCAGAATTTCTCATTAGAATAGATTTTTGAAGTATAGTTGTTGAGTTGCTGTATAAATGAGATGGATCATATGGCTATTCTATTTTAACGATTTGAGGAACTTACAGTTTTCAAAAATGGCAGTATCACTTTATATGCCCACCAGCAACATATGAGGATTTCAATTTCTCCACATCCTTCTCAATACTTATTATTATCTGTCTTTTTTATTCTGTTCTAGTAATTTTTTTTTTTTGTCATTATATGGACTGAAACCAGGGATGCTTTGCTACTGAGTTACATTCATAGCCCTTTAAATGTTTTTAAAATTTGAGACAAGGTCCTGCTGTTTCCCAGGTCCAATTTAAGCTTGTAGTCCTCCTGCCTCAGCTTCTTTAAATGCTGGAATTATAGACATGAACACTTATTTTTAATAAATGGTAATCCTTGAGGCAAGAGGATCACAAGTTCAATCCCAGCCTGGGCAACTAAATAAATTTAATGAGATTTTGTCTCAAAAATTATAATAAAAAAACTGACACCCAAAATAGTTCCTGCAGAATTAACATTTGAATGTGGTAGAGTTCCTATGATAAGATGTTCAACTAATATACCATCCTAGTAGAGATAAATGTTCTTCGATCTAGTTTGAAGAAACAAACATTTGTTTTTTGTTAATAATTGCTATAACATTCAAATTATCTATCTGCTGCTAATGCTAGGAAAACTGGTAGAACATAAAAATTTGATATTTGTCTAGTAATGTGGGGCATGTTACCTGGTGTCTCTAATTAGTTTAAGAACAGGGAACATGTTTCCAAATAGTCCCAGTGCAGAATAACTTACAAAAAGTTGCTTTATAATTGTCTACATTACATTCTAAAGTCACATAAAGGATTACTTGGCTATATGAAGTGTATGCATTCTTCCTGAAAGAAATATCTATAGAGGTACGGTAATTATATAAATGCATTTAGTATTCATCACTGGTTTTATTGCTGATATTCATTACTGAATGCAATTTAGGTTTAATTCTAGATATAGGTAAAAACATCATTAGCAAAAAGATATTATCTCTGTGTGACTTCTAGAAATGTAAAGTCCAATAATTTCACTTTTTAAGATGGACAAATATGATATATATATAGAGGATATATTCCAAACCAAGGTTATAGTTAACAAAAACTGTCTAAATGACAAAAACTTATTTAAATCTGAATAAGAATATCCAGTAAATTTTATAGATCCTCAAAAAACTTTTATCCTCATTCTATCTCTATATCTAGAATTGAGTATTGTGACACTTACAAAAACTATGCCTCCATTGTGAATTAATTATCATAAAATGATTTAAATCACCAAATAGTGGCAGGACAATGTGACTGAATAAATATTGGCTTTCTAAAATGGTAAGAAAACTTAGAAATTATATACTTTGCCTTTGTCATTTTACAGGTGTGGAAAATGAAGACAAAGTAAAGGAATTTGCCTGATATCACCTAAGTTTATTGCAGAGTGGGAAATAACAGCTGATTCATGACTGAAGGTTATTCCCATAACACCATATTTTAATCAAAATTTAATATATGTTTGCTTTGCAAATTTGTTTAAACTTTAAATTTAAATAGCTGAGCATGATATAGGCTAAAAGTGCAAACAGTTTTATAAACTCACATTTTTAGCTAACAGCCAATTAGAAAGTACATATAATAGTAAATGTTACTATTAGAGAAAATCATGAATTTATTATTAAAAGCAAGTGTAATGATGCCAACCTTCAAGTTTTCTAATATATTTTTAAAAATCACAAGCACTTCTATTAGATATTTTAGGATTACTAGAGAAATTTTCATTCATGCAGACAAGGGAGTAAATTTCTGTAAGAACTAAAAAGAAGTTTGGCAGCTCTTATGTATTTCATTCCCTGAATAATACATTGAACATTAATTTCATAAGATGAATATTGTACCTGAAAAAAGAAAGAGAAGGAAAAAATTGAAACCCATGCAATTCTGAAATCATTGATTGAGTTTTGGAAGATGATTTGATTTTGTAATCTTTTTTACTGGTCCTCTCTTAGCATTCACAGTCTTCTGAGTAACTGAATTGTGTCTTCCACTGAAATAAAATAAGCATTGATCATATAATTTTTCAATCACCATTGTATACAACATAAACATTATATACTGTATTTGGAGAACTGTATATTTACTTAGATTTCTCATGGAAATCTTCCTGTCATATTTTCTGCTTACTGTGCAATCTTAGGCAGCTTTCTTTGGTCATATTTCCTTTGCTGGCACAAAATACCTGACACTCACAACTAACTTATAAAGGGAGAGGTTTATTTTGGCTCACAGTTTCAGAGGTTTCAGTCCATACTCGGTTCCAAGGCAAAAACGTCATGGAGGGAGTGCATGGTAGAGGAAAGTTACTCAACTCATGTCATCTTGGAAGCAGAAAGCAGGGAAGGAACCCCAAAGGAGGGGTCCAGGTACCAGATATATAACCCAAGGTCATACCCCTGTGACCCACCCGGAGACATCCAGGAGTGTGCTTTATTCATCTCCTAGGCATTTCTCAAGCCAATCAAGTTGAAAATCAACCATCACAGCAGCCATAACATATTACCATAGCTAAAAAATAAGTGTATGTAAGGATCACTAGAGTAAATCTTTTAATTGTAGTGTCGATAGCTTATGAATTTGTGGTCATGACTTCACATAGTAGGAATATAACAGCCAATATTCAATCAGGCACTATCCCTTTTAAAAATAGAATTTCACATTTAATTGACTGTTTTCTAATGTTCTGATTTATTCATATGTGTTAGTATATAATTAGAATGAAGTTTTATTTTACTTTCAAAAGATTTTCCCCTTCACTATTTAAGCAAATTTGAAGGTGAGGTGGTATCTCTTGAAATGGATCATAAATGTAAAAATAAAAAATAACTAAGGCGGTTGTTCAGAAGAAAGAATATAACAGGCTTGTTATTGGAAACATCTGCTTGTAAGGTTAGCTCTTGGCTTGTGTGGAAATTTAATGGTTCAGGGTTCTCTACCTTGACATAAAACTTTCTCTAAATGATAAGAATGTGTTCAGTGCCTGCCATATTTATACTAACAGAATGCTTCATACTGAACACTTATTTACCTTCTGGGAGTGTGGAATTTTGATAGGTGCTAGGTAGAGGATGTCTGTGTGATCTGTCCCTGATTAAAAAAGAAACTCCCTCAGACACTAAGAATCGAATAACCTTTCTGAGTGGATAAAACCTCATATGCTATCATATGTTATCATAACTCATTGCTGGAGGAATTAAATGACTGCAGAAGTTTGCACCTAGTTTTCTCAAATTTATCCCATGACACTTTTCCACTGATAATATCAATTTGTATTCTTTCTCTGTAATAAATCTTAGCCAAGAGTAAAATATATCCTCAGTCCTGCAAGTCTTTCTAGTGATTACTGAATATGAGAGTGGTCTTGGGGTATCCTAAAAATAGTAGCATAATAGATGTTATAGAAAAATCCTTTGTCTCAACTTACTTTAATAATTCAAACAATATTATATATCCAAAGATGAAAGTACATAAAGATAGTAAAATGCAATATAAATCATTTATGACTATTCAGGAAAGAATACACTTTGATCCATCTAGCCAAATATTGAGCAAAATGTTGCCATATAATTCATCTCCAATTATCTCTGTTACACCATTAATTAACCAAAGAAACTTAATACTTTGCATATCCCATGAGGACTTTTTGCCTTGATCTGTTTTGAAAAGGATTCTCATTTATATCTAATTTATATATCAATTTAATTTTTACTATTCAGTTATATATGAATATATACCTCTACATGGGATAAGGTTATATAAAATAGGAATATTTGAATAATTCTTCTGTACTTAATACAGAACCAGGAAAACTATGTGTAGATATAACCTGCTAAACTTCTGTTCTTTATCCTAAATTGTGTTTGTTTACAAGGAAACAAACTATACTGTCATCTACATTTATTTCAATGTCTACTGCAATGAAAATACATTCTATTTCTTCACTAGAAAAGTTAAAAAGGACACTTTAATTGTAATATAATGTTGCCAATAGTGTGTTTGTAAGCTCCCCTTGGGTAATGCATTGGTTTAACTTGAAAAATATATCTTACCACGCATGAGGATTGAAAATATTTCTGAGATCTAAAAAAAAAGTATTAAATGGTGAACTGACCACAAACTTCTTTAAGTTCTCTTACAATCTGCTATTTTATATTGTTGCTATAAAAGTGACTTCCAAAATATAAGACACCTGCTTTATAAGTACCATATCCAAGCAAATATAATTATTAAGAAAAGACATAGCTAAACTTACGTTTTCACTAGATTCTCTTTCATTCTAGGCAGTTGTTCCATCTGTTGCTTTTTAGAAACTTGATGTGAGCCAGAGCCCTAAAATCCAAAAAGAAATTGAATGTTTATCCTTTTATTTCATGATTGATTTCAGCAATAAGAGGAATAGTCATTTTCAATTAATTCTTCTACAATCCGTTCCTTTAGTAGCATGTGTAAGAAAAGCTGAAGAATAGTGGGAAAGTCTGCCCTTCTCCAGTATAATCAAGCTCCCAAAGAGTCTGGGAATCTTCCTACTTTAGTCCCAAAGTCCAGAGGTTATTTTTTTTAATGGAGGAAATAATTAAACATGTGTTGTCCATGTGATTTAGATCATTAGAAGATTTTTCAGTAGACACTACACAGAAAACATGCACCTTGCCATTAAGGTAGATAAGGCTATTGTTTTATCTAAGCAGTACCAGCAGGTGTAGTGAGGCAGAAACATATAGGATAATAATTTCATTTTTGTCTATTTTGAAATTCTTTCAAGATATAAAACCAGAGACCTCTCGTGGATGGTCTAAATATAATTTATAATCCAGAAATTGAGATTGATCACTTTATAGATAGAACTTAAAGCCATGAATGAATGAGATCATTCATTAAGGGCACGTAGAGAAGTAAGAGAATTGATAATACAAACCTGGGAAAACAACTTTTAAGGGTATCATCTCAAAGACAGGGCCACCATTTAAACAACAGGAACTCCCACACATATATGTTGTTGTGGAAGTCAAGTGTGCATATGTGGGCAATGTGGAATTTAAAAAAGTGAGCCTGAACAACAGGGTAAAATGCCTCAGAAATGGGTTCTTGAGGAGGAGCCACTGTATGTGGCTGTTAAAAAATAAAAGCATAATATATGCATGCATAGAAATTTCACAATGAAAACCATTAATTCATATAATTAATAAGCACTAATATTTAGAGAGTGGAGGGACTGGGCTGGAGCACAATGATGGGGTCAGAAACAAGATGAAAAGGCAAAGGTAGTATATATCCACTTTTTCATGAAGTTTGGCTGAGTAAAAGAAATCTTACGGGCCAGGGGTTTAGCTCAGTGGTTCCACCACTTGCCTGACAAGCACAAGGACCCAAGTTTGATCCCCAGTACAAACAAACAAACAAAAAAAAGATGGCAGTATTTTTATGAGAATGGCCGAATTCCTGATGTAGCCCAGGCTAGCCTTGAACTCAGGCCTCAGCCTCCTGCTTCAGCCTCCTGAGTTCTGGGATTACAGATATGAGCCAACACACCTGGCTGGAATGCTTTTTCTTTAAGACAAGAGGATGAACAGCTGGGCATGGTAGTACAGGTCCATAATCCCAGCACACTGGGACACTGAAGTATGACGATCATAAATTTAAGCCCAGCCTGGACAATTTAACGACTTACCAAGTACCTGTCTCAAAAGAAAAAAAGCATGCAGGGGGTGGGGGACTGTATATGTAAATACAAAGGCCCTAGGTTCAATTACAAGTAGTGCAAAAAAGGAAACAAAAAGCAGAACAGGAGTGGTAGGTAAAGATATGGATATATTTGTAGGCCAAAAAGAAAAAAAAAGCAATTTGATTTCACACCTGATAATCTCTTTTATGATATATTAGATCATTTACTAAGTAGCAGGTTTGAGTGATTCAGAACAAAAAATGTAATTCACTCATTCCTTCATTCATTCAGTAAATGTTATTGAGCATGTGCTATCAGTACATTAAAGAAGGGAGTATAAATACAATTCACAGTCTGTTCAGGGAAACAGTGAAAACAACAGGTTACAATGAGGATCTTGATAAAGATTTACACAGTGCTTTATAAATAAATAGCAAATGCAACTAATTTAGGTTCCACATAGAAGAGTAATCATTTAAGAAATAAGGAAAGGAACAGCAAGGTCTCAAGCATGAATCAGCATGATATAAGTAGGAATTGGCATAACCTTAGATATGGGTGTAGAAGAAGATGCTACCAGGGATAAGGTTGCAGAGACAGGCACAGCCATGTTAGAAAGGACCTTGTAGAACATACCAAGGAGTGCTCTGAGCCCTTTGGACAATGCATACTAAAGGTTTTTAATCTGCACCATAGTATCTATATTAAACATTTATAAGTCAGGCATCAGAGAAGAAAAATGAGTGTGGTAGAGACAAGCCTCTGATGGCTCTGCCATTGAAAATGTTTATCAACTACTAGATTTAAACATGGAGAATTACATTTTAAAACAAACAACAAAAGTGAATTACCCAAAGGCAACAGAAATGCCTGGATAGCCTGAAGCCTAGGTAATGAGAGATGGCTAAATTGGTATCTTGACAGTTTAACTCAGAAACAAACAAAATAAAAAACTTTGGGAAGACTGAGAATTGTTTCTAAATCTTTAAAAAGCTATGTAGAAAGAGGAGTGTAGAATTGTTTTATGTTCTTTGGAGAATGAAACTAAAACCAATGGATGTTAAGGATGTTAAAGAAGAAAAAGCTTCATGTGACATGGTAACAAATCTGGCAATTACAACTGTCTGACAACAAAACACGTCCCTTTTTTGTAAATCAGAGCATTGTATCCAGCGATCTCTCAAATCAATTGCTAAAATTCTGTATTTCTGGAAACAATCTAAAATTTAAATTTCTGAGGTATTTCAACAGACTTTTAGTCATTCCACCTGACTTTTCAGTTGTGCGGTATACTTGTGAATTCTTAAAAAGTAGTATCTGTACTCTAGACACTCTGTGTAAATGTGAAGAATTTTTAGATGGAGACATTCCATTTTAGTCAAAACAGTGAATCAAGACTGATACAAAATCACAGACAGCAACCGAAGTATAAACAGCATGCTCAGCAAATAGCTCTAGTTATCTACCAGAGAATCAATTATTTATGTATTCAGCATAGAAAGAACTGTAAATCATCCATTAACCTTTACAGTCACCATAGTATCCACATGGCCAGAACTGTTGTTTTTTACTATAAAGATTAACAATTCAATCTAGAATGAAAATCCTTATTAACATTTATACTGAGGAGAGGATTAACATCTTCCTGGGAAGCTGTTAAAATAGGCTTTGATTGTATGTTCAGCGATTCTGTATAGCCAGAGTAGGATTATCCCACCTAAATGAATTTTTTCAGATAAACAAAGCTAAATAAATGCTTCAAGGGCAAAATAATTTTACTTTTAACCTTAAAAATATCCTTCAATGGAGTTTTATATATAGATCACTTTTTTCTTAATGACTTTGGCTTTTCATTATCTACATGACTTTCTATACTATATAAGTTCAGTTTGATATATGCATTATTTGCATATAAGTGTTGCAGGAGCTGGGCCCCCAGGCTGACCTCAGGGAGGAACCAACAGCTGAGTGAAGAAAATGGATTTCTCAGCAATCACCAGAAAGTAAGCAGAAATTCTGATGTCCTGACAGGGAGAGAGAGAAGCTACTGAATTCAGGAGAGAAAAATGGGAAAATAATCTTCACTGTTTAGAACCTATTATGTGCCAGCCATTTCATTCAGTATTTCACAAGCATCATATCTAAACACTTCCCGAACTCTGACATTGATACTGACTTCAGATGCTAATTTTTCCTTTCTAAAGATGAAGATATAAATTAAGGCCCAGACAGATCACAGGACAGTACATTCAGAGTTGGATTCAAATCTAAATTAGTGATGGCTCCACAACCAGCATGTCAAGGCCTCAGACAGGAGGTGGTGTCTGCACTAGACATTGAAGGGAGTGGACTTAGCATGTATGAGGAGAAATACATTTTAGGCAGAGAATAGAGTCCGAATGAAAGCAAAAGGGCACCTGTACTTCGGGAGGAAGCAGCGCTTGTAACCCAGCATCAAAGACCAGGAATTTGGATCTATTGTCCATCTTATGGACACGAGGCTACAAGGATTAATCTTATCTTGATTCTACTTAAACTTGGTCAATAATAAAATTTCAAACTCCCCTTTACTCACTGTAGCCCTAACTTTCATTTCCAAATTTTTCTACATATCACATTATTGGCTTCAATATTCAAACCTAATTCTTCCTCTGAATTCTTTTATCACCCCATATCAGAGGTTGTGAACCCATGGCATGTGTGCCAAAGTGGGGTGTTTGTATCATTGAGAGTTCTAAAAGGTTCACCATCACTGCTCTAGGTACCCTAGATCAGTAATTAGTAGATTATCCTTTATGTTATCCCTTCCTTTGAGGTCCTCCATCTCACTGTTCAAGTAACTTCTTTAACAATATCAATCCTCATTTTTGGCTCCCTTGACTATGTTAAAATTCTACGGAGTTATACCCTAGACTATCTTTTTCTTTCCATCTTATATATTCTCCCTGATGCCATGAATTTATTCTCATAACTTCACTTACTATTTATACACAAATAATTTCAAAATCTCTATCTCTAATCTTTAACATTTTCCTGAGATTCATATATCCAACTGCTCCTGGAACACTTCTGTTTGGATACCACACATTGAAAAATGAACTCATACTCTAATCTTACAATATGTATCAAAATAAAATTAACATAGATTAAATATTTAAACATCAAATATTAGGCCATATAGGTACTAAAACACTTGGTGAATGTTAATGAAATACTGAGATGAAGATGGTCTCTTTAACTATGACATAAGAAACTATAAATAAAAGATAGCTCTGGCAACATAAAAAAACTTCTATAATACTGACATAAATAAAAGTAAAAGGTAAATGAAAATTGAAAAATACATATATATAATTTATTGATCAATTTTATAATCTGTGGTAAGTATGAACTTTCTATCAGCTGCAAAGCTGAGTCTACTTTAGATCTTACCATGCACAATTACAAAGTGAAGTGCCTGAAATTTCCTGATAGCAAAGAAATAGAGGTTTACCTATTTTAATTCTAGTGATTATGGATGAAACTAGAAGGACAACTAAAGAAGAAAATATGCAAATAATCTCTTAATTAAAGAGACTGCTTGGGGCCGGGGATGTAGCTCAGTGGTTCCACTGCCTGCCTCACAAGTGCAAAGACCCGAGTTTGATCCCCAGTACCCCCCAAAAAATAAATAAAAATAAAAATAAATAAATACCTCTCTTTTCTTTAGGTTTTTAAATTTTTAATTTTTATTAGTGCATATTCTTCATACATGATTACATTCATCATGGGGAATTGGTACATGTACATAGCATTGTTTTACCTCTTCATAAAAGTTAAATATTTTCCTTTCAACTATCCATATTTAGAAACTTAGTATGTTTTCTCCCATAATTCCAACATCTGTTTCTCTACCAGCAAACAGACAAACCCAGAAAAGTGAAAAAAATAATTTATATTCAAAGAAAATCTCTAGAATTTGGAAATAAAACAAAAAAAGTTACCTGAGACATTTCAGCTAGATACGTACGCCGTTCTTTGTTTGTCCTCTGGTAAGCCTAGATAAAAGATAAAAAGTAAAGAATCAAATATAAAAGAAGATTTGATGTACCTGCAAGACAATTATTAAATTGAAGTCCGTTTGTCCTATTTTTCTAAAATCCTGCAAGAAATATATATGCAACATTTTATGAAAAGTATACAATAAGTTTGCAGTTCACACTAAAATAATGGCAGCTTGAAAGGAATTGCGTAATATAGAATAAAAGCTAACCTTTGACTCTTGTTCCAGTCTCAGTGCATAGTCTTTCACTTGACTTTCCAGACTCCTTTTTTCTTTTTCTAGTTCTTTAAGTAATGTATTTAAGGATTCCTGAAAATATAAAGAGTAAATTTTCACATTCTCATGTTCTAAGTAACAATAACAAAGACCATCAAATTCACTAGTTAATTTTTAATGTAATAGTCTATGATTTCATAATTCTGTAGTACTTATTTTTAAAATAACAGTAATAGTAATAAAATATTTGTTGAACTCTTAACTCTTTGCCATGTACTGTGTACACTAAGCTTTCCATAGATTATTTCATACAATCCTATTAAAATTCTTGTGATGGCTAATATTTATTTCCATTTTACTCTTGAGAAAATGGAAACTTCTAGAGGTTACATAGATGACACAAAGGCATGTAGCCAATCAATTGTAGAGCTGGAATTAGAATCCAAGTATAGTGATTCTGAATGCCACAATACTACCAATTATTAGTATGAACAATTACAGCTTGTATTCATTCTATTGCTACCATTTCACCAAAAGAGGTACATACAAAGACATTTAAACACTATCCTATTGCTGACTGTATGCTGTCTACTTTTATATGCTAGAGAAAAACCACTTTAGAAAACAGGCATCCATATAGAATGAAAAGTTTATAGCTCCTCTTTCATAAAAACAGATTGAAGTTGGATTAGTTTACTCACAGCAATAACACTACACATATTCATTATTATACATTATTGGAGAAATGCACAAATAAAATATATAATTCCTCCCCCTCCTCCTTTTTGCTCCCCCGCCCCTGAATGCCTCCTTCACAAACTCTAGAAATTTATTTTCTGGATGCCACTTTTTCTAAGAGCCTCCCATCCTATGTGTTTTACCTTTTCTGAGAGGACTTAGATATGAACAATTTCCTGGGAGCACATACAGAAATATGTACTCAGGTCATTGCGCTTGCAGGGCAGGTAGCAGAACCACTGAGCTAAATCCTCGGCCCCACACACAGAAATATGGAAAAGCTTTCAAAAATCTTATAATCTCCTTGGCTGGCCACCATGTCATTTGTACAGAAATTTGTACAGACCTGATGACTGCAGGCAGAGAAGTCTAGGAAAGAGGAATGTAGATGGTCCTACAAAAGTAGGAACAAAGGACAAGAATTCTTGTGCATTGTGTATTATACAGTAATTCTCACCAAAGAATATTTAGAACAGGGCTGGGGATTTGGACCCCACTTTCCAACATCACCATGGAAATCAAATTTCAACATGAGTTTCAGAGGGGACAAACAATATTAAAGTCATAGTATTTGCCGACAGTTCAGCATAGGTAAATATTGTCCAAGTTATCAAATATAAGGTTTTTACAAAGGTGTGTGATCTCATCCTTAGAAAAAAGAAAAGAGTGCGAGTAATCATGTAAACCTATCCTGAGTGTCTTATAATGCTATTAGAATTGTACCAGTATAACTGTGTAAGTACCTAATGACACAACTCCTTCTGGGTGTGAACAGTACATAATATTTTGATTTACAGTGGGATCTGTTCTTTTATTATCCATTGTTCAGGTAGTCCTAAATTGCTAATGTGTGCCACAAAGATTAGTTCCACTACAATACCTAAATTAATAAAAGTGTTACTATCCTTGAACTACATCAGAAATTCAAGTCTTACTTCAAACATACTCTTTTTGTTTGTTTTTTTGTTAGTTTGGTACCAGGGATGGAACTCCGGACCTTGCACTTGCGAGGCAGGTAGTGGCACCACTGAGCGAAATTCCCAACTCTCAAGTATATTCTTAAATCATGAAAACCTGAAGATTCTCTGCCCTATTGAAAGAAATGGGCAGGGAGCAGATGGGGGGATTGATATATACTAGTGAACCTGATGTAGTACTTTTAAATACTTATACCTAGGAAGTACACTATGAGCTCTGCACTCTGCATAAAAGGATGACCTCACCAGAGGTCCTCAGTTAGTTGGTTTGGTTTTCTGTACTCAGCTCTGAATCAATTAACTTTTGTGGTGGTAAGTAGAGAAGAGATACTATGGTTGTCAGACTATGCAAAGTCCTTACCTCTGGACTCTGGCTGAAACTTCATCAGCATTAAATACATGATTGAAGGGTAAGGGAGACAATTTTCAGAAGAAAAGAAGTTTTGTTCTAGAAGAAGGCAGAGGGAATGCTCATCAAATCAAACAAAGGTCTCTATAAATGATGCATTAATCCCAGTACTTGGCCATGGTACCTGAGTTACTAAAAAGAGGGGGAGGGGTACAATTATGGAATTTAAGGAATTGTAAGCCTATAGTATTAGGTACATTATTCATAATCAAGTTCCTCAATATATTGTTGGGAGAGTAAAGAAGGTTAGTCTGGGGCCAGAGTATAACACATTCCCCCAGTTTGATTTAAAATGTTTCAAGTGTTTTAATTACATGCCACTTTATTTTTTTCAATTTTTACAATTTTTATTAGTACACATTTGCCATACATGATGATCACATTCATCATAGGGAATTTGTACCTGCTCATAATATGTCTTCATTCTTTTTCCCCTCCTTTCCCTTCAACCCTTCTTCTCTTCCTCATTTACAAGAGCTTTGTTTCCAGTTTTTCCTTCCCATTATCTTTTAAAAATCTTTTTCCTTCTTTTCCTCCTCCTTCCTTTGTTTCCCTTCTCATTTGAATGTGTTCTTCCTACTTGACAATATCAATCTTCCATTTTGCTCTTTACCCTTTGGTTTAAAATTTTAATCTCTAAACTAATAACTGATAATTTTCAGTAACTCCAAGTATTTCTCATGTTCTAATAAATTAAATAAAAAAATCTTTCAGTCACTTTCTTACTCTTGTTGGCAATGATGTAGGTCACTAAATCTATTAAAAGAAACATTCAAAATATGGAAGCAGCTGTTTTAAATCTCTGAAAAGCAAAACTGTAATATTTTAGAACTCACATCTTCCTAAATACAACAAATTTATTAAAGCATTCTTAATTTTCCTAAACACCTGTTAATAACTATTAGAATTTTTAAAGATTATATTAAGAGGATAATTAGGTCACCTAAAACTTGGCAAATTCCAGTCTGTCAAAGTAATGATTCCCTACCATTCATAATTGATTAACATCCTTGTTAAAACATAATTGGTGATATTTCTCAGGTTGGCACTATTTTTCTTTGTTTTTTGTTTTTGTTTTTTTTGGTACTGGGGATTGAACTCGGGTCCTTGCGCTTGCAAGGCAGGCCACCGAATCGCTGCGCTAAATCCCCGGCCCGGCACTATTCTTCTGTTCATTATGCAGTGGCATCATGAATGACTTCCATCTCCCTTCCCTCAAATGCAAACTTGCTCCAAAAAATAAAAAAATCAATGAAAGCAGTACATATTCAAGAGTTTAAACTGAGTTACTTTTATGGGAAATTAAACCCTTATGAAATAAACTGCCCAAATAAGAACTTTGAAGAAATGATCAGGTTTTAATGAAAGTAGTTTAAAATGCTGTTGTAGACCCTTACTTCAAGGATTACAAGTTTAGGCTATGATCCTAATATTGATCAGTTACATAATTTGTTAAATAGACGTATAAATATACAAGAGAATCTAACCCTTTAAAATATCACTTCAGTGGAAAAATGCATTATTCCTAAAAGAAGTTCATTTACAAATAATCTACCAGAATGCACATTATTTTCACATTGAAAGTGACATGAATTAGTTATAATCTAAAATCTTGGCACTCATACTAAATATGTACATGTACAATAACAGTTAAAATGCAAAGTGCTATATAATTGAAATGCCAAATGTGAACCAGAATAAATATTTCAAACATCTTAAAAAGAGGTCAATCAACGTGGGGAGAGCATATAATGTCCCCAACATAGAAAATATTTAGAAGAATGGAGACAAAGGAAGCCACATATTTATCATAAGCTTAATCAGAAATTATTGTTTAATAGGATTAGAGCTGAGGCAAAATATTTGAGGAGTAAACAAGAGGCAAAGTAAGGTAACTAGGGAAGGACCTGGTAACAGAAGGCTTGGAACATTAGGCTCAGGTATAGCACTGGGAGCTACTGCAAGTTATTAAAGTAGTGAAATGAAGAAAGAAGTTTAATAATATGAATGGAGTATCAGTCTCTATAATAAAAGGAGTTTTGTTAGTTGTTGAATGAATTTGAAGCTCCAACTTTTGAGCGTTAAGTTTTTAAACATATATTCTTCTAATTAGTCATGCCATATTGCTATTCCTATCCTGATTAGATTCTTTGTCTTGTAACCTAATTCTGCTATTCATTCATTCCAAAAACTTTTAAGTTCCTCATATTTCCAGGCATTGTGCTAGGGAAACTATAGTAAGTACTGCAAACCCAGTCCCGGGCCATGTGAAACTCAGAGTCTAATAGGGGCCCTAGAATGTGGTCTATTTTATCCTTAGTGGTTTTATGGCTGCTTGATTCATCAATTACAAACCAACTGTAATAACATATTTGCCTATTTTTCCTCCTGTAATTCACCAAAATTACTATTTAAATGGTCCTATCAGTTTACAGCTCTAGCACCTTCCATTCCATGTAGCAGATCTCATTTGTGACTATCTATATGTGTCTACTTATCTACAGGGTGGAACTTTGCCCTGAAAATTCGGTTTTCTAATGGGCCAAAGAGAAGACATTGATTTTCAGTTTATTGACTTTTTCTTGTAATGACAGGATTGATGACTTTGAAGCTATATATATGCTAGAGATGAAAGTGAAAGTCAACTGTTCCAAATCAATGACATAATCCTGTACCTGTGTACCTATTAATACTGATATGTCAACTTCACTAGCAAATTAGTAAAGCATTCTCCTGGTATGTCTGGGTGGCTCACGGAGGCATACTCTTGGGTACTCTATATGATCCTTTGCCCCTTCCTCTAGCAAATTAGTAAAGCATTCTCCTGGTATGTCTGGGTGGCTCACGGAGGCATACTCTTGGGTACTCTATATGATCCTTTGCCCCTTCCTCTCTGGCACTGTTACTCTGATCTGCTTCCCAGTCAGCAGGTAATGAGCATCTCTTTACTTTACCACATCCTTCTGCCA